ACTTCCAGCCTCCCGAACAAGCTGATTTCCGAAAACGCTTTAGCACCATAGACCAAATACGTACCCTTCGGCCTGGCGTATGTGGACTATGAGAAAGCCTTTGATTCCGTCGAAATTCGGGCGGTGCTACAGTCCCTTCAGCGGTGCTAAGTAGACTGTCGGTATATTGAAGTGCTGAAGTGTTTGTACAGTAGGTCTTCGATGGCTATCCGAGTACAGAACCAGAGTACGAAACATATCAAACTGCAGAGAGGTGTAAGACAAGGTAAAATTATACCCCCAAAACTCTTCACCGCTGCATTGGAAGACGTTTTCAAGCTAGTGAATTGGAAAGGATACGGTATCAACATCAATGGCGAATACATCACTCATCCTCGATTTGTCGACGATATAGTCCTTATTGCAGAATCGCTGAAGGACCTAAGCACTATGCTCAATGACCCTATGAATAGCGTCTCCTAACGAATAGGTCTTAAGATGAACATGGACAAAACGAAGATCATGTATTTTGTGCATGTCACACTCATGCCGGTAGTTGTTGGGAACGCTAAGCTCGAAGTTGTTGACAAGTACGTTTACCTAGGACAAATAGTCCGACTAGGTAAGTTCAATTTCGACCGAGAGGTCAATCGATGGATTCAACTCGGCTGGGCAGCGTTCGGGAAATTACGTCATATCTTTTCGTCAGCTATACCTCAAAAGCTGAAAACGAGACTATACAATCACTGCGTGTTGCCAGTGATGACCTATGGAACTAAGACCTGGTCCTTCACTGCTAGCCGTATGAGGACGCTCAAAGTCGCTCAGCAATCTATGGAGAGGAGTATGCTCGGGGTTTCTCTGCGTGATAAACTTAGAAATGGGGATATCCGCAGTAGAACCAGAGTAACTGACTTAGCCCAAAGGATTAGTAAACTGAAGTGGCAATGGGCCGACCATGTAGCTCGAAGAACCAACAACCGTTGGGGAAAAAGGTTCTTGAGTGGCAGCCTCATACTGATAGGCGAAGTGTAGGGCGACACCCCACTAGATGGAGTGACGACCTGGTAAGACATGCAGGTAGTCGATGGATGCAGTGGCTCAGGACCGTGCTTTGTGGCATACCTTGGGAGAGGTCTATGTTCAGCAGTGAACTTGTTAACGGCTGTAATGATGATGATGATGATGATGATGATGACTGTGTTAGACGAAAACACGATTCCGTAAAATTTTCTCGATCGAAAAAAAAAGTTCATCTCCAAACCCAAAAATAAACCGCTGGTATTCACAAAATACTTCAAATTACATCATGAAACTTTGCTTACTAACTGAACTAACTATAAAGCAGGTCTTATGTTTTTTTATTACCTGTATTTTCACCGTAAAAAGATTTTTTTTTTGTAGCATTGGGTGACAAACGAGCACACAGTCTATACTCAGATAGAATCAAAATGCAAATGCGTTGTCACCCCTTAGGACTAGGGGTCTTCAGTTCTCTACACTCACCATACGAAACACAGCAGCATTACGATGCTATTTATGTTGATATTTCAGTTCTTTCATATGTTTTTACGATTAAGTGATCACTAATGGCATGATAATAGTTAGAAAATAATAAACATTTTAGCTGTGTAATAAAGCATTTGTCGTGAATCTAGTCAGATTGTGATATATTATTACAATATATTTGACAACTGATTCAGCCATTTTGAAGATTAGCCACGACAGATAGACATCCAGCAGAACAAAGACATTTAAATAGGTATATAAAAAAATATATATATATATATATATATAATATTTAAATGTCTTTGTTCTGCTGGATGTCTATCTGCTAATCTTCTCTTAACTTCTAACTTCTGCAAAGAGATTTAAATATATATATATATATATATATATATATATATTTAAATATCTTTGCAGCAGAGTGACGTTAGTAGTAAAGTGTACAATATTTTTTTAAAAAACTTTGGGGTACGTCATTAACATTTCATCTTTTCTTCTTCCACAGGTAAATTCTATATTTTCCTTAATGGTATGTTCAACGGTGCTTGCAAATTGGTCCGACTGTGGCGGTGACATGATGGCAACAAGTGGCTCCATCGACAAGATCGAAACGAAAGGCTCCCTTGACATGATCAACTTAATTTTGAGGCAATATGTACTCAGTAAGTACCTACTCTCATTTTACTTCTATAGATTAACAACAGCTTATGTGATATTGTACAGTGGCAGTGAGATAGTTGTACATCTTATTGACTTCTTCATAATTACACAAAACATGAGCGCCATCACTGTAAGAAGTAAATTGCTTGTGCTTCACAGCACCCATGGTCACGGGGGGACTGAGATGTTTGTCGTCCCAATGTCTATGTCTGTCCCAATGGCTACCTTCAGCTTTTGAATATTAGTTTTCGGTCCGATCTACGTAGAACGAGCTCACAGTATCTTGAAATCTTGCAGTGGTATGTTTGGGTTTAGGTTTAATTTTGTTAATTATAGGATCCCAAGCAGATGGCAGCACCCATCCATTTTCTCTATTGAAATTAGGATGTTTATAATTTCAATAGCCTCGCGTATCATCCTTGGTAGGAATCGGTGTTCTTTTGCGAGGATTTGTGGTTTATCAAATCTGAGGTAATTGTGGGGACAATCCTGAACATGTTCACACACTGTAGACTTCCCGGAGCGTCGGTGCTTCACGTCAGCTATATGTTCTTTCACGCGGGTTTTTATGGACCTCAATCCCCCTGTGACCAAGGGTGCTACAAACCACCTGAAACATCGGGAACTACTTATCCGTAACTTATCTAAGTAATACAAAATGAGATTGAAGGTATTTCTTTCATAGAAGTATATTCTGGGTATGACCATGCTATCAAACAAACCAGCGTGAAGAAACAGAATAATGGTGCTGTTTTTCGTTTGCATAATACCAGAGGCTCATTTTACTGGTAATGAGGAATTCTATCTTAGTCCAAGGGTAACAACGCATCTGCATTTAGATCCTTAATAAAGGATGAATATAGATATCTATGTATGCCTCCCATCCACTTAGTATACGGCATAAGTGATGAGATGCTGAAATCATTACCACAACCTGGTATTCCATTAAGAGGAACCATGGGCTATAAAGAAGAAAACACAGCAGTAGTAAAGGTGCAAGGAAGCTTTATGGCACTTCGTTTGTCAGTGCGCCTGCATGACAATCTTACCAAATTTTTGAGAATTTTTATAATGTACATGGAGAAAAGGCTGGACAGAGATCGTCTAATTTAAAACATACACCTCCCTTATATTTTTGATATATTTTTTCACATTAAGAGTACTAAATGTCAGGAAATTTGGATCCGCGCGTCCTGCCTATTGAGTTTTGAGAGATTTTAACATTTTCACTATGTTTGACATCACATTTGTAACTAACATACAAGGAAGGAGAGACCAGTTTTAAAATAGATAAATTCTTACCGTGTTCAACCATTTTCAGGTGAAGATTGCAAATATTCTCTGGCCATCAACGGCTTGACTTCATCGCATACGGTGTTAAGCCTGGTGATCGTGGTTATGTTCTCCTCCGTCATGAACGTGTTACTTTCGATGGCATTAATAATAAGTACGTGGCTTTTCTTATTTTTAAACGTCAACTCTACTTTATGTATGTGTATAATAATATATAAACTAGACGGAGTGCCGAGCTGATAAGACATGCAGGAAGTCGATGAATGCTTATGGCTCAGGACCCTACATTGTGGCATTCCTTGCGGAAGGCCTATGTTCAGCAGTGGACTTGTGAAGGGCTGTAATGATGATGATACAAATGTTATGGAATTTTTGAATTATGTTTCCATCCACTATTTTGTAAATTGAAATGACAAAAATACTTTACAAACGGACAAAGAAGAATAAAGAGAAACGGAGTGGCAAGCGTTTACTCGATGGTGATGACTATAGACCACGGACTGCAGCAAAAAGAAACAAAGAAAGCTGCGGCTGCGCGGTCACCTCTGGCGATTAAGATGAGATTCCTCACAGTCTGTTAATCTACTAGCTCTACAGATCCTTAAGGAACACAACGCCACAGTTCCTTTAAATAAAGCTTTCCCTTTAAATAAAGAATTTTGTCGCGCACACATAGTCACGAGCGGGATAGAGGTCTTCGACGTCCCAATATCATAGTTAACCACGGCTACCTTCAAAATAAAACAATGTATTTTTGGTCCGATCTATAGTATCTTTAAGTCTTGTAGTTGTGTGCTTGGGTTGGGATTTCATTTTATTAATTATAGGATCCCCAGAAGATGGTTACAGCTCCCAGTCATCTTTTCTATTGAAATGAGATTTTTTTGATTACGATAGCCTCGCGAATCATCCTTGGAAGCTTGCCACTACTGAACAAAAACCTTTCCCACTGTTTTACGTATTAAAGCCATGCTGCAGATATACGAGTATTAGTAGTTTATGTAGATGTAGCAAGAATGGGTCGGCTCGTCTGGGGAATGAGCACACTGTCACAGAATACCACCGTAAAATAGCAGCTCAACGCTGCTGTGTTTCGTATGGTGAGTGTAGAGAACCGGAGACCCTTTTTACTGGAAAAGAGACATTCCGTCTTGATCTTCAGGAATGGCAACGCATCTGCATTTTAATTCTTAATCCAGGATAGATGTAGATGTATATGGGGCACAGTAACCGCTTATCGTAAGGTAGGCTATGTGCTCGTTTGTTACCCATATTCTGTTAGAAAACAGTTGGGGGATATGCTATAATTATCAAGGTCATAAGAACAGTTGTCCGGTCGAAGCCGACCTCTCGCCTCCCGAAATTTACGTTTGCTATTCATATTATCAGTAGTATTATACTAGCAACTAATATACCGGATAAAGAAAATTAAAATACATTTATCATTATCTGCCGCAACCAAACGCTCAAGGTCGTTCGCTAAGAAAAACGGCTTAAAAGAATAATATTACTGTCGCATTTCCACAGCAACCATTGAGAAAGAATACTTCCAGTTTATGAACATGGTCACGTACGTGTACGCATTTGTTTGGTTCGAGTCGCTCATGGTGTACCTGACTTTAGCCTACAAGTTCGGAATGGATTACAGCTATCTGACGGACTATATCGTAAGAAAATTATAGTAAATTAAATAATAATAATTATCTCCGATTTAAAATGAAATTAAATTTTACTTCTTTTGTTTCAGTCGAATAATTACATCGACTATTTCTATTATAACAAGTTAAACACATTGCGCTACGGCGCCATTTTCTTGACGGTAATCAGCACGAAGGGCTACGGGACGTGCTTGATAAATATGGTGCTCGTCGTCTATCTACTGATAGACGTGTTTAAGAGATCGCCTTCGGACGAGGTAAGTCCACGAGAAGGACGCAAGTCCAGAGGAAATCTATAAATCGGCAACAGGGGATCAAGTCTCATGAACTAAAAAGCAGAACGCTCATTTTTTTAACTGAAAATAAGTTGTAAGGATTAGCACCGCTGTTCTTTGTCTGAAACCTATACAGCTTTAAATACTGTCCTTAAATGGTTTTCCGACTATAAAAGTTAAAGGCTTTAAATAATTATTTATTTATTTAACGACACAGCTTTTAAAATGTCTTGTGGAAAACTTAAAAAATATCACTAGCCCGACCGGGACAGCCAACATATCAATTTCAACAATCAATTTGTTTGATTTTGTATATTTTTTCCATAAGCTAAAACAAAAATACATTTATAAATTATTTTCATTTATTTTTTCATATTAAAGTTTTGTCAAGTAATATCAGGAAGCTGAACGCACATTTGTCTACACCGCCCGCGCCGTGTGCACCGTACGCGCCGCGTTTCAGAATTCGTTGTATAAAATCATACGAAACCTCGCACATTACAGTCGCGCCGTACGCGCAGCATTTTGTAAAATGCTGTAGGTATCTGAATATTGAAGGACGCATGCTGATGACGTCATACAATGACTGTAATTCGACGCGTTCGGCGCGTGCTGATACTCAGTGTTGTCCAATTTTGCCAACTTAGTGTATTTTCCACTAAGACTGGTAGTTTCGACTTTCGTTTCATGATATATTTTTACTTAATTTCGGGAGCAATTTCCCTTACTATGTAGGCAACAATGAGTCGTCACACAAGACTTTTTATAAGTTTTAATTAATACGTAATTATTTATACATAATCTGGAAAAAAGGGCATCGATTATCAATATGAATATTTAGCAACAAAATCAACGGGCCTTCTAAATCTTGAATTTTCCATAGAGAGAAATGGTTTTAGTATATGTAGCAATTCTTGAAAGTTCTTGCATGTTAAATTCAAATATCTGAAAACTCGTTAATCATCGTCTAATAAATCTTTAAATATAGTATAATATTCTTCATACAACTGCCTTTTTAAATTAATATTATAAATCCAGAATCAGAAAACATGGTACAAAGTTGTAACTTGTTATGTACTGTTATGAAGTAACGACAGTGTCTGACCAAACGTACGTTGCACAAGTAGACCAAGTGTGTATATACCAACGTAGGATCGTTGCATCGCCTACGTGGCGTACGTGTGTGGCCAACACAGTGGTGAATGTAGTGGCCAATAGCATTGGCCAACGTGTAGACGGGGTGTTTGGGCTTCATTGGTATGTATTGGAACGATGGCCCGCAAGTTGGCGCGAGATCCGTGTGGTGTCGGTTTTTTACAAAAGATCAAAGGATTGTTGGCAGAGTTTGGTCGCCGCGTCCACATGTTGGCCGCGAGTTTAGTTAGCTACAAGCTCCCAGAGTGATTACACGCATCTGATTAAAATTTTATATTCACGCTTTGTAGGGTGGATGACCCAATTACCAGCCATTTAGTGCCAATTTCAACTTTAAACATTCCTACTACTTTAATTAGCGCGATTTAATTATTTTTAAACATTTGTTTTAATCGATAAGCTATTTATAAAAAAAAATAATGAACATTTATTTACAATCAGATTATTACGAGAACAATTTTAAAATGAAAAAAAAATGAAGCACGTCGTTTATAAGTGGTAGAACCATGCAGTTATATTAGAAGTATAGTTGTAGGTTGTAGCACGAATGGGTCGGTTCGACCGGGGAAGGACCACGCTCTCACAGAATATCAATGTAAAATAGTAGCTTAATGATGCTGTGTTTCGTATAGTGAGTGTAGAGAACCAGAGACACTTTTTAAAGGAAACGAGGCATTTCATCTTAGTCCTCACTGATGACAACGCATCTGCATTTTGATTCGTAATCGAGGATAGATGTAGATGTCTGTGGGCCACAGCAAACACTTACCATCAGGTGAACTGTGTGCTCGTTTGTTACCCTATCCTACATAAAAAAGCGTCGATTTCTTATTATTATTTATTATATTAATTTAATCGTGCAAGTTTTCGAATCATCATCATCATTACAGCTCTTCACAAGTCCACTACTGAACATCCTCCTCCACAGACTGCCGCAAAGCATGGTCCTGAGCCACTTTCCTTGTCATGAGTTTTTCATTTATGTTCTAAGTTATAAATAGTACCTATTATTAAGTCAGTGTTAATTATATTTATTGCTATTGTTTTTGTCTTTCTCAAAAAATAATTAAATTACCAAATAAATTATAAGGTGTTTTTATATACATCAAATGTCTGATAGAAAAGCAAGTACATGTTTTGCTAAACTTTAAAAACAAAACCCAATTTTAAAACATAGAATAATCGATTATAACTCCTTTAACTTTAAAATAAGTTAAGTTCTAAATAATGGTATTTATTCCAGTTTCTGATGCATGTAAAGAATAAATAAAGCTAATCGTATATCGTATATCTATTTATAGCCCCATTAATATTCACTATTCTTTTATAATTATTTGGAGAACACTTGGATTTTCTCCTGTATCGCGGAGGCAACTTACAAACATAAATTGCACAAGGACACACATCCAGACCCGAAACAATTATTTGTAGGATATACAAATACATTTTCCGTGCGGGATTCAAACCCACGACCCCTGGCACAGCCACTCATTGCCAAGCCACTGCGCCACGGAGCCGTAAAACAAAATAAATTCGTCCGCACATTGGCCCGAACCGAAGTAAACTGAACGACCTTCCAACGTGTGGACGCCGTCACCAACTCTCGGCCAATATATTCGCCACTACATTCGCCACTGTGTTGGCCAACGTGTAGAGGCGACATGACTCTACCCTACTCTTGTGAACTTGCACTGCGCAGCGGAGGCGGACCTAGGGTTGGGTTGCCAACTCTTTTAACTATAAAATGTAGGGGATTATAAAAAAAACATGGTCTCTCTTTAAACTATATTTTAAGACCGCAAGTATTAATAAACCACTGTACATCTTTATTCGTTTTAATTAATTATTTGTATATCTGTCACTTTTACACACTTCTCATACTTTTCATGTCGAGTGGCATAGAATGGAATAGATATAATAATTATGACATTCTCTAGGCCACAATGAGCAACTAAACTTAGTTTTTGAAATATCAGCCCGCAATGCAGAAGTTTATTGTATATATGTTGTTGTTATATGTTGTTACAACAAATGTGTTTTACGTTATCTTACTAACTACTAGAATAATGAAGCCCTAAAATCTTTAAAAAAATTACAGCAAAATACCAAAAAGAATAATAGTCACAGATAAAAGTAAATCTTATATAAAAAGAATGCAAACGAAAAATTTATGAAAAAACTAAAAATACTAAAAGTGTAAAATATGAAAACATTTGTTTACGTAATGACATATTAAATATAACATCTCCTAGTATAGTTGCAAACTTATTCAATAATTATTATATAACTATAAGTTCAAATAACTGCTGCTCTCTAAACAAGCGGCCATCTCGAGTATCCTTGCCAAATTCACTATATTATCTTAGTAGTGTTACAGAGGCTGATGTAAAAAGAGCGATAATGGGACTAAAAAGAAACAATTCTTACGTTAATGATGAAATGCCAGGTACTCTGCTGATATATTGCGTAGATGAGTTTGTAAAGTCCTTATCTTTTCATAAAAATCAATCGTATAAGGATGGCGTTTTTCCGGAAAGTCTAAAGTTAGTCGTGATAAAACATGTTTTTAAAAAAGGCGATAAAACTGCTGTATCTAATTATCGCCCCATCGCATTACTGTCTGTAAATTCAAAAATTTTTGAGAGAATAATTTGTAGTACAATATATATTTTTACAACAAATAGATATGAGCATGGCTTCCGAAAAGATCATTCTACAACGTCCGCTGTATTTGTTATTGCCTTAGAAATTATGAATGCTCTAAATGAGGGAAGACGTGCTATAGCTATTTTTATGGGCATGTCCAAAGCATACGATCGCGTTTTACATGGCCCCTTGATAGAAAAGCTATATTCGCTGCATATACGAGTGAAATCTCACGAATGGCTTTCTTCTTATCTTGCCAATAGAAAACAATTGTTACATAGTAGCGTCCTAGGATGCTTGTTGTTCTCTATTTATATCAACGGACTTCCTTCAGTAGTACCACATAGAGTCGTTTTGTTTGCAGATGACGTGACAGTCATAATTACTTGTGAACAAAAAAATCTTAGAAGTTTGCTGTTAAAAATAGCCCAATGCCTTAGCAAAATTGTGGATGAATTATAGGTATTAGTACTGCAGTTTCGCCCATATCAAAGATCAGAAGTCCCATTCGTTATATCTTACCAAGGTATAAATATTGAGGAAGTTCGCACATTTTCGTTGCTCGGAATAACAAAAGACTCAACTTTTTCATGGAAAAATCATCCAAAAAGAGTAGTGAGTAAGTTGAGCAGTTTCTGCTACGGCCTGCGTGAGCTATGTAAGGATACAAAAGGAGCAGTGCGCACTTACTGCGTACCACAACCACGCCGCTGCCTGGATAAGATACGGCTTCAAATTCCGGGCAAACTCTACCGATGTACACGCGGTATCTATGCTGCAAAAACGTTGCCTCAGAATCATCACATTCACAGCTCCAAGAGATTCATGTCAAAAGTTGTTCCCCGTGATATAACTTACTAACTATAATGTGCATGTACATTTTTGAATTACGCCGCTTTGTTAGGAAAAATCCCCATTATTTCCAACGAATTGGCGATAGACCCAGTGGATACGGCGCACGCCGTGGTTATAATCTGGTTGCTCCTGCCGCACATCTCACATTACTTAAAAATCGTCCCTACCACAGGTCTATAAGGGTTTAAAATCATTTACCTAATATGATAAAATCCCTCCAGTGTCGCTAATTTGAAATAGTACGTATAAATAAGTCTATGAATAGTACTTAACAAAATGCTTATTGTTAAAACATATTATTTGAATAAATATTTTAATGATAAATTATAAATCAATTTTAATTATTTGGCAATTTTCTTTATTTCTATTTGCTTATTTGAGATTGTCAATATTTTTCATCATTGACCGCCTTGTTAGTCTAGAGGTTGTAGTTGTGCGGCTGCTGATCATGAGGTCCTGGGTTCGAATCCCGGGTCGGGCCAAATATCAATTATTGAGTTTTTCCTGTCAAGAAATACTCACCCCTGTCCCTCGGAAAGCACGTAAAGCCGTTGGTCCTGCGCCTGATCTCTCTCCGGTCGTGTTGGTTTACCGTCCCATCGGATTATGAGAGTGAGGGAATAGAGAGTGCACCTATGCTTGCGCATACACTTGGGCACTATAATCCTGTCCTGCGCCGATGGCTAGTCTCCGTTGAGGCTGGCCGTTTGGCAGACGCAGTTTTTTTATTTTTAGTCGTTATTAGGAAGACGCTGGTGCCCATCTCCTGATTTATTTCCCTCTGCTGCCTCTTACGACCCCGCGGGACGATATGGGGTAGTGGATAGTCTTACACCGCCACTATACGGTAAGTCTTATTCTATAAAACTGCGTTATATTGTGAAAGTAATTAATGAGAACTGGTTCTAATAACATAAATGATTTTTTCAGCAATCGATCTTCAGCCGGGAAGCTCTGAGTGCGTTTGAGTAAGTGACTTTTTTATTTATCATCATCATCATCATCATCATTACAGCCCTTCACAAGTCCACTGCTGAACATAGGCCTCCCCCAATAATAAATAAAATATAATTATCCCATCTCACATGCCTTGAAGTAACCTCGGGTCTCGAGTCTCATTCGTAAATAGTATTTTAATATTACCCACATAATATATTACTGATTACTTTGAATTTTTTTCTATTTAGTAGTGATTTAACTAAAAAATGAAGCCAAGTAATTAAAAATTAAAAAAAAGTACATTTTTTCGGTCGTCGTAGTTGTTGTTTAATTCGTTCATTGAGCGCTAGTAAAGTTCCACTCACGGCTCACCAGATATCGGTAGTTGTAACTGTGTTAAAGTTGTATGTTACACAATGTGATTTCACTTAGAAATTAGTTTTAAATAATATTTTATCATTTTATATAGTATTATATTAATACACAAAATCATGCCTTAATATTTTGATCTTAAATTTATTACACTTATTAACTTTTTTAAATTTTTCGATTACTTTACTTTTAACTTATGCACCTAAATTTTTCTTAAATCAAAGTAAAGGTTAAATTAAAGATGTTAAATGTCTATTAATTATCTTGTAAAGAAAGGGTGTCAAACAGGCACACAGTTCACTTGATGGTAAGTGGAAACTGTGACCTACGGACAAGTACAACTTACCTTGATAAAATAGAGATTCGTTGTCCCCCTGAGAACTAAAACGGAATGTTTTGTTAACACTAATAACTTTTTAAATATCGTTTACGTAACTCAAAATATCCCGATCGGCTAAGGAGAACAGAGTCCAAGTTGCAATACGTCTGATTTTGCGATCGTCAATTTGTCCATATTTATTTATATCCAGTTTGTTTTATTCATTTCTAATCTAACTAGTATACAATATAACAAATAATACATAAAGAAACATTAACCTTTACTTTTTCCTAAGTAATTATCCTCCCACGCTATGAAATCTGTCAAATATTTCACCTCATTATAAAGTGGCGCTGTCCTAAAGGCAGAAAAGTTTGTAGATAGTGCCCCTTTGAAATCGAAAGTCCCTACATTGTTTTATGGAAGTGGAGGCAAACGAGCATACAGCTCATCTGGTGGTATGTGATCAGTGATCACATACTATACGTGATCGGTATAGGGTGAGTAGATTTACCTACAGTTTGTAGAACATAGACAAAAATCGGAGACTTTCCTTTAATAACAAAAAATCGTTGTACCAGTAAATTTTACCAGAACTCAAATTAAGTGAATTAAAACATCTTATTACTAACATAAGTTTTACGTTTTTACACGACAGCTTAAAAATAGGAGTGCAAGTTTTTCATGGTTCACGTGATCTTTATTTTTTTCCACCATAAGGTCTGATCTACCAAATGAATTTAGGTGTATTGTATATCGTTATAATCCTTATATTACCGTGAGTGACACAAATTTTTTATGATATCAGTCACGGCAAAATTTATCTTAATTTTTTTATTTAGTTTTCAAATTGTAGGAAAAATTTGGGTTAAAAGGTAGCTGCTTTCTAAAATAAATTCAACGGTAAATTATTTAGATTTTTTATTGTCAAATAAATACATCAATGAAACAAATAAAAAAGAAGAATCGCGAAAATAATTTGTCTCTTAAAATAAAAATATAAAACTAAAATTCAGTCAAATAACTAGAAAAATAGAAAAGATCATAAATCAAAGTCGTCATTGGCAGTACTATAACCTACTTTGTTATCTTGTAGAAAATTAAAGTAGATCAACATTATTTTTTCAATATTTTCAACATTTAGTCGGTTTCGTTTTACATTTAAATGTGAATGAACAAATAATTTGCGAAGTCCAAGAGCGCAAAAAGAGAGAAAATAATATAATTATAGTTGGCATACCAGAACAAAATTCCACCAGCACCGAAGAGCGGATCCTCAAAGACGAGGTTGAGGTTTTAAACATCACTTCAATAATATAAAAAGATATTCCGAAACCAAATAAGATTTTCCGCATTGGCAAGTATAATCCAGCAAAACAACGAAGGGTTAAAGTCTGCTTTGACAAACCAGACACAGCCAAGGTACTCCTCCGCAACAAAGAAAAATTGCCTGATAAAGTAAACAGCCCAATCAAACCATCTTACTTTAGATCTATCTTTAATGAGGACTTTAATCTTGGTTTTGGGAGTCCAAGGACGGATGTATGCTCGAATTGCAAGAAAAACTGAAAAACGAAAATGATCCATCGAAGAAAAGCCAACTGATGACAGAGAAAAGGATACACAAACTAAGAGCACAAGCATTTTTTAAATTACTCAAAGACAAAAAAACAGCAAATGATTACGTTCTCATTCGATTGCCAAAAGAATTTGGTACTTCCAAAAGTACCCGACCAGAGTTGTTACTACAGCAGACAGCTGTATCTGTATAATTTTACAGTAGTCCAGGGTTCATCGAAAGATCCCTTGAATGAAAACACCACATTTGCATACATCTGGACAGAAAATGAATACGCTAAATGTTCAAACCAAATAGCTTCCGCTGTATACGATAGGCTCAACAAAACTGACCCATGTAACCCACGTCCGTTTAGTGGCAGATGGATGCGCAGACCAAAACAAAAATTTAATTATGATTTCCATGTGCATGCGTTGTATTTTGGAAAATCGACAAACAAAGCAAATGGAACTAGTGTTTCCCGTGACAGGCCATTCTTTCATGCCGCCTGATCGAGTTTTCGGCAATATTGAAAAAAGTATCCGAAAAATGGAGATCATCACTTCTCCAGAAGTGCACGTCGATGTAATTAGTCAACACTCTACAGTTACGAAACTACGAGATATACCCGTGCTTGACTGGAAAACTTCTATTCACAGTATCGTAAAAACACCGGCTCAAATCCACTTCAAAATTTCTCAGTGTAAAAGATTTATTATTCGAAGATCCAAAACTCAAGGAAGTGTGTTGGTACGTGGTGAATTGTATTACAATTCTGACATGGGACACCCCAAAAGTTTGTGTAAAGCAGGCAAAAAAGCTGAAGCTATACGACCAACAATAATTCCTTCTGGCATAGAAGTGAATCCACTAAAGTTGCGAGATGTCAGAAACCTTCTTCAAAAACACTATGGTGACTCTTGGAAAGATCTTGCACATTTAAGATATTTCCACGCCGTGTTGAATACTCGACAAAGATGAGCTTCAGCTATTAGAAGAAAGAAGAGTTGAAGAAAAAAACGATACTGTACGAGATTTTTGTGAGGTTCAAGAAGAAGATAATTTGAGAGTATAACAATTTAAATAATTAAGATTTAATTATAAAATAATACTTTTTCATAAATATTATTTTATTTACATGTGGGTCTTCAAAACACTTTAAAATGCACGTATTTTGGTTATGTTATACATTTGAATTTACATACTTTATATACATATCTTTTTAACGTTGACTATAGCTACGATATGACAAAATTTTTAGAAAAAGTTAAAATATACATCACTAGTCTTGTGACGTCATCACCATAACATTGCAAACAAAAACAGCTATATCCACCACAGGTTGGTATCAAATGCAGCTAAGTGATATTAAAATTACCGCCAAAAAGTAATTTTATCATTGGATTGACTGATGTGTGTGTGTTCAGTGGTACCACCATTCCAAATACTTTTTTCGTTTTTTTTTTCATCGTGTTGCCACAGTAAAAATAAAATAAAACGTTTTTTCTGTTTTACGAAAATACCGAGGTGGATATAGCTGCCTTTGATTCTATACACCTCATTTGTAAAAAAGATCATAGTCATCTAATTTAATTTCCTTTACAATTTTTTCACTTTTTTGTCGAATCATGCCGTAATCTGGATTTCGTTCTAGGACTAGCTCTAGTTTGTTTTCGATTACTTTATTAGAAGACCAGCTTAAAATACATATAACGTTGTATTTTAAGCTGGTCTTACGTAGATTTACGTAAATTAACAGTGAAGTTTTCGTTTATAACATTTAGATCTACTTGGATGTTTTCTTAGTTAATACTCGTAGCTTCTTTTGCTTTCCTTATAGACATGGCTACGTTGCTATTGAGACAGTTTAATCCATCGGATGTTTCCTGAAAGTATTTTGATAAGTAATTCGCTGCCTTCAGCCATGTACCCCATCATGTTATTACAGGTTGTGGTGAAAGTGATATATTAGGGTACATGTTTTTGAATATTTTTGACTTTGTTGGGTGATTTTAAAAATATCGTCTTTATATTTGATATCAATGTATCGACATTTCCGTATTCAGAACGCACTTTTTCTGATACTCTATTTAATGCGTGTGCTAAACATGTGATATGGAGCGTGTTGAGAAAATCATGTTTTAGTAAACGTCCAGCTCCAAACATATATGCAGCACTGTTAGTGCATAGTATTAAAACATTATTTAATTTTTCTGAATATGATTCGCCCCAGATTTCATTTATAGATTATGTAACGAATTGGGCTATTGTTCTCCTATTTACTGACTCTAGTATTTTACAAGCAATCAAGTATGTATCTGCACTATATATCTGTCCATAAATCGGTTGTTTCATCAAATGATATCCATACTTTATTGTCTCCTATAGTATTATAAATTGAATTTAATCTATTTTGAAATACAATATCTAAGTATTTTTTTCTTGACAGAGATTCAGATGGAACTTTCCTTTATGGGCAATTGATATGTTATAACCACAGCAACAATTACAGCATAAATATTTGTCGAAAAAGTTTTGAATGTTACATTATCAACTTGATACGTATTACGTAATACTAAAAAGTTTATGAAATCAGTGTAAAATTATTCATCAGGCTTTTGTCGCCTCCCTTGGTGCACTGACCAACGTTACTTTTATTAAGCTGTTAATGAAGTCTCACATTTTGTGCAGATGATATGGTAAAATATAAATAAAATTACCTAAAAAATAAATTAGCCTTGTGAGGAGGATAATGAATTTTTTTTTATTGTAACAGAACCAACAGCATTTTGTAACATTATAAAGTTAGTAAGTATTTACATTTTCTACTGCCAATTACAGGTTCTTACTTTATATAAAAAAACAAATCTTCTAACGTATCGCTACAACTGTGTGGAAATAATATTATACAGGGTTATTTTTAAAGAGTAGTCATTACGCCATTACGCATTATACAAAACATAGTGCATATATGTACATCTACTAGTGTTTTGTAAATATTTATTTCAGTGTGTGTGTGTGTGTGTGTGTGTGTGTGTGTGTGTGTGTGTGTGTGTGTGTGTGTATAATGTTTTAGAATACAATCATGTAGTAACATGATTGTTTTCTAAAAATGGCGTTTGTGATATTTTTCACAAACCTAAAGATGAATAAATTCAATATTTGATTCGATAACAATCGACTCAAACTAAATGAACTAGTTCACTATATCAAGTTTGATACCTTAATATCTTATTCATAAAAGTGCATTTAATATAATATATTAAAGCACGTGAGGCTGCTGACTACTTAAAAAGTGGTCAACGAGTTTAATACCACTTGGGCTACAATTTTTTGTTACACACGCAACATACAACGTTATGTTACACACACAACATTAACGACTGGCACTTCCTTTTCCAATTCATTCTCTCTTTGTATACCAATCTATGTGTGCTACATTGTGTGACAAAGATGTTGTAGTCTCTTTAGTAAAATCCAGTGTCAATATTACAGTGACTTTAATTTACAAGAACCAGCTAATACAGTCCAGTCTCAAACACCCACGTGGGACTTTTTGTCTACTTGAATTAAACCGATTACTTATGTTTTATAAAAAGAGTTTAGAAGTTAATAAAATTAATTCATTATAAATTAATAAAATTTATTGTACTTACGGTGTAGGGTCACCCGAGGCAAGTGTGTTAGTGGCGCAAGTGTAACAAATGCAAATTATGCGGCCTAAACACGGTTTTTGGCTTAATTCTATCCATTAAACAACACAGGAAATTTTACGCTATTGGCTAAACGGACAGTTAAGTACATAACTTGAACTGTTTTATCAACAGACGTTATTTTTAAAAGTACTCAACTGGCGACAGATAGCGCAATTTTAAGAGGTGAAGTTATTATGTGTTTCGATATGTCGTTAAGTTATTTTAACCAGATACAAGGTGAGTGATAAGGAATAATATTAGTGCTTATAGAGTAATATGTTTCTGCGACCTGAAATTCACTATTCTTTGAAATATGGATACAGTTAACACTTACCTGACCTAATACCTGACATCGGAGTAAGTGTGACAGTGTCACGTTTATTATGATTATTTTATTATGAATTGTTAACGTTCTGAATTAATGTTTTTTTTTGCACTTGGCATTGCTTTAATTATACTTATAAACATCCAAAGTTAGTGTAGTAAAACTATTTAGAGGCACACCACTATATCGGTTTAAAACAGTCACACTTGCCCCATGTTGGGGTAATTCATTTTCACACAAAAATGGACGTTCAAATCGTTTCCATAGATTATAAAATATATCAACATTAATATCATCTCATCAATTTTGTTGAAAACCACAGATAACAATAAAGTAACTACAGAAAGAAGCGTACTGTCACACTTGCCCCATCGATAGGTAAGTCTGAAAGTCTTCCACCTCATTTAGTTTTAATTACCTCAAGTTACAAAATGCTACTTGTACACACTAAAATGCTTGATCAGACGTACAACCACATAATAATTGATCTTATGAAACTGAATTCTCTATATTAAATCTTTACAGAGTAGAAGTATTTAAATGTCAATTATAGTTTTAATAAATTTATGTCACACTTGCCCCAGGTGACCGTATATAGAAAAGTCTAATTGATCGCTAGCAGAAATATTGGAGTCCAAGAAACGTCAGTCAAAATCGTAGATCCATAGTCAAAGGTTAGCACTTTCAAATCGGAATACCAATAAAACAGAGCCAAGTCGCAAGACAAAATTCAAGGAACGAGCGATAGGAAAGGGGCGGGGCTCGGCGGGGATGAGTGAATGTGTTACTGTGCGTACGAGAGGAGGGTAATATCAAAACTGTATCCCAAACAGGTTTAGCAACGATTACCAAGCCTATTTGCAGTTGAAAAACACGTCGCTCATATATTACGTAAAGAACACGATAGCAACAAGAACTTATTAAGACAAACTTGTTGTTGCTTTAGTTAGTGTCCCTTGTGAAAATCATTATTCAAAAATATTCAATATTAATCTACGCACTCTGGAGACTCTGGAGAAATCACCTAACAAAATGCAAATCCGTTGATCCGTTTTTTTCTGTTACTATGGTAAACTTACATAAGGCTTATGTATTACTAGCCATATGTATTACTAGCCATATGTATTACTACGGGGTTACTTCTAAAACATGACTTTCTTAAAAAAAAATAATCATCGGTCCGCAAGATTGAAAAACCCGCGTAACTAACATACTGTTACGAACTTGAGGTTCGTGACAATAAAAATTGCCGATAGAATTACCAAAATTAACTCACAGTATCTTGAAGTCTTGCAGTGGTATGCTTGGGTTTGGGTTTAATTTTGTCAATTATAGGATCCCAAGCAGATGGCAGCACCATAAAAACCCGCGTGAAAGAACATATAGCTGACGTGAAGCACCGACGCTCCGGGAAGTCTGCAGTCTGTGAACATGTTCAAGATCGTCCCCACCATTACATCAGATTTGATAAACCACAAATCCTCGCAAAAGAACACCGATTCCTACGCGAGGCTATTGAAATTAAAAAACATCCTAATTTCAATAGAGAAGATGGTTGGGTGCTGCCATCTGCTTGGGATCCTATAATTAACAAAATTAAACCCAAACCCAAGCATACCACTGCAAGACTTCAAGATACTGTAAGTTCGTTTTGCGTAAATCGGACCAAAAATTAATATTCAAAACTGAAGGTAGCCGGGCTAACAATGACATTGGGACGTCAAACATCTCAGACCCCCGTGACCATGGTTGCTGTAAAGCAACCGAAACGTCGGGAATTAAAAATAAGTAAAATCAGTTAAATAAACGCGATAGAATCCGTAAATTTAGTTTTATTCAATGTGTAGTGTTCACGTAAATTTAAGAAAGCATTACCATGAACCATGTTAAAAATGTAACTAAAGAAAAATATTTACGCAATAGATGTTTTTATTGAATTAATAAGACGTTTAATTTCACGTAATTAAAGTTCTGGTAAATTAACTCGTAATTTTTTTTTGTTATAAGGAAGTCTCAACTGTAGGTTATACTCACCTTATTCCGACCACTATGTTGTAGCTGTTTATGGGGAACGGTGATCAGTGATCATCACCTGCAACACCGGTTTTTTAGAAAGTAGGCTGTTTTTGAATGTATGACGATACAAATCCTGTCCAATGAAGGCTCGTGTCCAACAGTGAACTTTTACTAGATGAGAAGAATCCCACTCCTGGGTAATATTAAAAAACCACATGGATATTAAAAAAAAAACAGAATATAAATTATAGAATATAAAACAGTACTTTTACTAATGTAGTAATGTTGAGTTGAGAAATGAAACTTGAGATAGGCGACAGCATCTCGCTCAAAATAATATAAAAATTATTAAGAATAAGATTTACTAACTTGGCTTTTTAAACGAGATAATGATATTAGTTTCATAATTCAAAGTTCCAGTTTATCCAATCGGGATGCAGACATGCCGCAGTTTGACTACGACTTGCCCGTTACGAGTTATCAGAGGTATCTTAAATTAGTTTTAGTGGCAATGTTTATTGATGGTGAAGTTACCTATATCCTATATAATAATAAATTATCTATATCCTGAGTAATTTGCTTGCTTAAATTTTAATAGAGGGTAACTTTTAATCAACCGAGGGTGAGCTACGCACACTATAACCCATATTCTCCCAACGTCCCATTTAACGTGCACCTATTTTTGACACAAACTAGCTGGTTATAAAATAAGTGAAAACAGAAGTTATTTTTTATGACAACATTAGCCGTCATTTAAAAAAAATCGCTGAAGATAACGTGCACTTGTGTCTATTGAACAATTTTGTGAATTTCGTGAATTTTGGTCAACATGAATTCGAGGAAAAAGTAAGTTATTACTTTTACACACGATGTTACTAGAGAGGTGAAAAAAAAATGTACTTAAATAGTACAATAGTCCATGTAATCGGCATTTTTTTCTTTTCTTAAAGTCTGGACTTTAAGTCTAGTAAAAAGTTAGAAAGTTTATTTTGTTAAGCGTACGCTACGACAGTAAGAAAGATACAAAATTACTATACGAAAGGACTAGAATGAGTCAAATAAAATCACACGAATATGTACATTTTTCAACATGATGCCTTATCCTAGTACTAATTCTTTATGAAAGCCAGTAGTTTTTAAGATAAATTGCAGAAAAACTAATGTGTGAAATATTTGTTTAAGAACCATAGAAAGTTAATGTAAATTAGATTTTGAAAAAAATTGACTATGTTTTTTATTTGTATTTTTTATAAATATAAGCCTCTGATTGGTGTAAGGGTACAAAAGACTCATTATTTATCTTTTGTTTATCTTGTGTGAAAAAAATCATGCTCGCAGACCTAATAGTTTGGCCGCAATTGCGAAATTTAGGCTAAAATCTGATTTTGACAAAAAATGTACTAGTTCAAATAACTTTTGAACCACTGAATATCACAGAACATACAGGAGGGTTAAATTGATTGGTACCGAGGTCCTCTACCCCCCAGCCACCGATTATCCAACCCTCTAGTTAAACCGTGTATAGTTTTAGACAAATTTACTTAAAATTATATTATTTTTATAAGTTAATGAACTATTCTATTACTGCAAACATTAAAAACGATATTTTGTTTTCATATGTGGTTTTTGTAAAATTTGTTTAAAGCCCCATTAAAGATGCGCTCGGAACAGGAGACTTAATGAAGATTTTTTGCAATGTCATACATTTAGACGTCTTGTTTATTTTATTATTCACTATTATTCTTGTTTTTTAGGCACATGCTAACTGTTGACGATATTATATCGGACCTAGAAGATGATAACCCTATATATTCTGTAGATATATTTATCACATTGCCCGAAAATATAGATATCAGCGATGAAGACAGCGGTGACGATGAAGCAAGTGATATAATCAATCTTGCACGTCAACAATTATTGGCTGAAACCGAAGTACGATGCCAAGTTATATAATCGGAAGGAGTTCTGGAAACTGTTGAAGGTATTCCATTCACAAATCAAGATGAATAAGAGGCACAACCATCCACTTTTCATTACGAACTACCACCTAAGCCTGCTATCAATAGGAAATGGAGACACAAGAACATACATTCAAAACCTGTAGGAGTAGCAAGTATTCCTGAATTTGTTTTAGATAAAGATAATCGTTTATAATTTTTTGAGATGTTTTTCGTCGCTGAAGCTTACGAATTTTTTCATTCAAGCACAGAAAAGAAAGCAATTGCTAAAAGACAAGTAAGTTTTAGAATAACCTCAGAAGAAGTGAAAAATTTTGTTGGTATTTTATTTTATCAGATTACAGCAGCGCATCGTGCTACAGAGGGTATTGTGATCAGAGTAATGATACTCATCATCCATGCCTCGTATATTTTCATGCATGCGATAATACTTTCTTCTGATGATGAATTTAGCATAGTAAGACATCCGTGGGATACGATGAATAAAAGTGGCTAAATTAGTTCCCAGGAGATAAACATTTATCAATTGATAAGTCAATGGTGCCTTACTTCGGAAAACATGGAACGAAGCAGAACATACATTGTAAGCCAATCAGTTTCAGGTATAAATTGTTTTCACTCTGCACGCTAAAACTGAAAATACATACTCAAATGTTGGCGTAGGTGGTTATGTAGTGACGAACTGGATTTCCAAACTGCCTGATTCATATAGCTTTCATATTGAAAACTTCACATGTTTTCGATTACTTGATGAAGTAAGTCAGATGGTTCATAGTATAACTGAAACGCTCCTAGCCAATAGAGTTAAAGGTGCACCGGAGATGAAGAAAACCACAAGAGGCTCCTACCGTCAAGTCACGTTCATTTCATCCAAGAAGAATTTATTGCGCTACAACGACAACAACATCCTGACTGCCCGACAGAAAGCGTTGTCTAGCCAGTTGGGAAGGTGAAGAGGTGGTGCAACAATAAACGAGTTGTCGTCGATCAACCACTTTGTTTCCAGTTATATAATTAGTACATGAGTGGAGTTTACTAAAATGTTTGTTGGTTGGAATCGGTATACCATTGAAGAGATAGTATTGGCAAATAATGATGTTTCCTATGTGTCTGCTAATAATGTATTCCAGTTGTACAGATTTTCACTAGCAATGCAAGCTAAAGATGTTCATGGCTTTCCGTCTTTCACAAAGTACGTAGTTCAGATCTATTTGATTCTTGAAAAAGCTTCGTCTTTAACCAAATGCATTGCATTGGAACCCCGGCCACGGCTACCAAGTCAAGCGTTCCTGGTTGAATAAGACTGGGTGAAAAGGAGCGGCACTAGTTTATCAGAAATGAAATTCAGATTCGATCTCATTAATATTACAAAAATACAAAGTTTGGGTACAGTCAATGTAGGATTGGTTTGCAACAACACTGTTCTCAAGCTTTCCACACTACAAAATATTATTTTTCGAACTTTTTCTGTGCACATAATTAAACATATGTCTTAGTTTATAGTTTGCCCTAAAATTGTTATATTCCGTATATTTGTTATTACAAGAAGCTTATAGCAAAAACTACATACAATATTTTCCCATACAAAACCCATTGGCATGTTATCCCAGCGCCCCATTTAACGCGCGGTGCTAAATTTCAACATGTGTTGAATTCAAAAGTATAAGAATTTTACTTTTAATACCTTGGGAAAACATGGGTTGAAAAATTAAAATGACAAAAGAGTTCACAGACCTAATAGTAAATGGCTACTGCAGACGATGAACACCTGCGGCTAACTTAAAATGCTCCTTTAGTCTTTTACGATAGCTAAATATCCAGTCATACGAGCGGAAATTTATATTTTAACATTCGCCAGGCAGTCAGAACTCTTAATTTAACCGTCTAATGACGGTGTAAAAATATGCACTATCACATATCGCGCTGGGAATGTCGTGAGACGTGACAGAGGGAAATCGAAACAGGAGATGGGCAACAGTGGCTTCCTAATAACGACTGAAATAATAAAAACCTGGGGTAGCCAGCCTAGCCACCTGGGAAGCCTGGTAGCTATTACTAATATCCCGCTGTGAGATAATCATCCAGGAGGCCTATGTTAAGCAGTGGGCTTTAGAAAGGCTGTGCAAATGATTTAATAATATATTAAAATGTACAAATGAATTAATAAACATATTAAAATGTTACATAATTATGTCTCTAAATCGACAGCGCAAGTATGAATGCGGCAGCCTTACGTCGGGACGCAAAAGGCCGGCGCCTCGCACGGCACAATCTTTCCATGAGGTAAGTTTTCAAATCATTATTAAATTTAAAAAAATATATCTGTAGGCTATAATGTCGGACCGAATATCGGATACGAAGGCCGAATTCAAAGCCGATCAATCAGCTATGGCCACAACCTTATCTAAAAAACTTGGCGTGCTCAGCAGAGTGAGACAGTATTTCTTGTCGGCACATCGTTTGCAACTTAACATAGCGCAAGTTCTGCCTCACATGGAATAGTGTTCTCATCTCTGGGCCGAGGCAGCCCAGTTCCAGCTACTTCCACTTGAGCGCATCCAGCGCAGAGCGATTCGAATCGTCGACGACCGAGTCCTTTCTGATCGGCTCGATTCACTGGCGCTTCGTAGAGATCCCTTAGCGTTTTTTATCGTATCTACCACGGGGAGTGTTCTGAAAAATTGTTCGGATTAGTTCTAGCGGCCAAGTTTCACGCACGCACGTCGCGAATAAATTCATGATACCATCCTCACCATCTGGATGCTTTGGTGGTGGTGCGATTGTTCATTAGCGGCGGTAGTCACTTACCATCAGGTGAGCCGCATGCTCGTTTGCACCCTCTTCTATAAAAAAAATTCCTTCGGCCGAATCCGAAGCCAAAGCTTAACAACTCTAAGAAATTCAGTTCAAGGTTGGCTAAAACAAATTATTAAATTATATTAGTGCTTTTAAAAACATGTTATGTGCTCTTCAAAAGGAGAAAAGCGATGTTCCTAATCCAACACATTTTCATTTGTGACATACGATGCAAGTTCATCATGCGAATCTCATAAGTCCTGCCTTCGGCTTCGATTAATACTTAGGCCCGTTTCCGAAGCCGAAGGTTTCACCAAATGTTACCGAGGAAGGCGTCGTAGTAAATTTATCGATTTTCTTTTTAGTTATTTGACATTTATTAAATTTAAAAACTTGACGCTAAAATATTTTTAAATACATAGTTACATAGCCCATACTTATTAAGAAATTTATTTTGTTACATTTTAATAATAACAGTTAAGTATATAAGTAAAATGTAAGTTGTCGTTAATGTGTACTCGTATACATACAAATAAATAAAATGGAAGTGTCTGTTTTTATTGTCACAACAACTTTTTACTAAATTGCTCTGAAAGTATATGCGCTACTTATAACAAAAAACAATTTAAAAATGACTGTGTGTTTGTCTGATTGTTCCGGCTAATCTCCGAAAGAGCTGAACCAATTTGACGGGAATATCGCTGGCATATTTGGTTATAAGGAGTAACTTGGGCTACTTTTATTATAGAAAAAGAATTCGGGCTCTGCACAAAAAATAAGATCCATGAAATCTAATCGTAATGAATTCCACGCAGACGTAGTCGCGGGAATATCTGGTAACCATTAGTCCAGGAGCTGGCGACGAACTTCGGGAAGTTTCTTTTGGCAAGTTGAAATTGTAAAAATTTAATTTTTTCTATTGTCGTATCCAGTCCCGCAAATCTGAAGCATTCGGGCGAGCTAAAATTTGTCACCAGCTCTCCGACTATTATAAGATCATTATATTATGTACTACGTTCATACCTACATATAGATAAAGAAAAATAAAATTATAAAATTTAAAAAAAAAACAATAATTATAAATGGACTTCATTTTTCAGACGCGTGGACCAGCCACGCCAAGCTCGCTCGAACATAACTCCATTCGAAACAGAAGATGACATCGTGTTGGCACCTATGTTATTAAACACGCCTATGGTGATACGCCGGAACAGTAGCTACCGCAGATCTTCTTCGGCAGCCTATCCGTACCCCAACTACAGCAGGCGTCTGAGGTCAGCTACGCAAACAGCGAACTCGTAAGTGTTTCATTTATATCTTAACGCATATTACACGCACTAGATACAAAACACCTACAACACGTACAAATTAACTGTAGTTAACACTTTATATAGGTTTTTATAAGTCGTATTTTGGCATCTGTCAATGTAAATCTTATCTTCATAGAAAGGTGACCTGTTTAAAATTATCGATTTAATTGAACAACATCTGTGAATTAAATGGAGTTGTTGTTAAAGAAATACTACAATTCTTTGTTAAGCACTTCTTGCTCACGAACTGTAATTTAATTAAGTCTGATTAGGATCTCTGTCCCATTATTATATTCTATATTCGTAGTTAAACAAAAATAATTGCATTTATCCAGTTGAACTATATAAATAGTTTCGTCGTCGTCATTACTGCTGTTTGCACTCAGCCTCTCCTCAGAGTCAGGAAATATTATCTGTTCTCACATCTCGTTGAACGTAAGATTATTTTCAGTCTTCACAACCCGAGCCTGCGTGACAATAAATGAGGCGGCTCCTCTTCCAGAAGGAACTTTAGAGAGGAAACATTATGGTAACCACACAACCTTGTTTCATCAATTGTGATTTTATTTAACTTTTAGTAAGAATGTTACTGTTCCAAAGCATATCGTAGTGCTACAGCATGTTTTCCCGCTGTTTAGATATTTTATATCTAAAGCCAATCGAATTTCAATACTATGACGATTTACTGTCAGAAAATAAGCCTGTCTCTTTTAAGAACCAATTAGCTGTTTCCTTGTAAGATATGTCATTCTTGAATAATAGTGAAAATACATCTGTATTTCGATTCTTAATCGAGACTAGATGTAGATGTCTGTGGACCACACCCACAATATCCACTTATCATCAGGTGGACTGTGATCTATATTGCTGCAATTAGGTACTTGATGGGTACGCACGTCATACCAAACCCCAGCCTGACGGCCTGTCAGTAGTGATTAGTAAGGTTCTATACTGATGGCTCACGTCAAACATTGTGTACATTTCTTATATCTAGCTACTTGGTAGAGCTATCTTATAGCTCTATCAAAATTCCACTGTAATAAAATAAAAAAATTGTAAATTCATCCAAAAGTTCATCAAGAACTGCGTTACTATGTCTTTTGCAATATTTTCTTCAAATCACAAAGTGTAATGATGTGATAATATGTGTAATAATAAGCCTTGTTTCCATCATCATCACACAGCCCTTCGCAAGTTCACGCAGGCCTCCCCCAAGCAATTCCACAAAGCACGGTCCCGAGCCACCTGCATCCATCGACTTTCTGCATAAGCCCTGCTTTATGTCCTTAACTTGCGAAATGAACGTTGTCCGTTGCCTCACATTAGTGTCAACACAAAATTAAATCACTGCATCGTCCAAGAGTGTCCTGAAACGTGAAAGAGAGAACTTGAAACAGGAGATGTACAACAGTATCTTCCCGATAACAACGTGAAATTAAAATAAACTGCAATTGCCAACCCGCCTACTAAGCGTGGCAACTATGGCAAAATGTTTCCTATGAGGCAAACTATGGGGGAGGCCTATGTCCAGCAGTGAACTTTTATGGTTGTAATATATGGATGATGGATGGTAAAATTTGATTTGTACTTTCCACTTACATTGTTTGTAGTAAATACCACTAGAAACCTTATTAAAGAAGTGAGTTGGCGAGGAGGCTGACATTAGGGACGGGGCTGGTATTATAGACATTCACCCTACATGGCCTTGTTATACTTTTAGAAACTTCTACATAATTTAGTACGTGGTAGAGTCACGCTGCAGCTATATTATGGTTGCAGCACGAATGGGTCGGCTCGACCGGAGAAGGACCACGTTCTCACAGAATGCCAGCGTAAAATAGCAGCTTGATACTGCTGTGCTTCGTATGGTGTATGTAGAGATCCGGAAGCCCCTTTTTACTTTAAACGAGGCATTCAATCTTAGTCCTCAGGGCTTAGGGGTGAAAACGCATCTGCGTTTTGATTCTTAATCGAGGGTAAATGTAGATGTCTATGAGCCACAGCATTCACTTATCATCAGGTGGACCGTGTGCTCGCTTGTCATCCGTACCTATTCTATAACAAAAATAAACAAGACACACTACCAGACCTATCTTCTGTTACAGATATTTTTAATACTAAAATGAAACTTAAAGTGCTTGTTAAATATTTTTTCGTATTAATATCTACGCAGACCCGTGACTACAGAGGTGAGCGTCCATGAAGAGTGCAGAGAAACCAGGACCTAAACTATGCAGCGCTCTATTTTAGCCACGATCAAGATTAAATACTCAAAAACTTGCTGTCTATATGTTTTAGCTATGTTGCCATACATAACTGGCTCCTTAGAAAATCTTTAATAAATTCTTTCAAAATATAGTTTGTAGGAGTTTGAAAAAAAAGTAGTGATGTTTCAATCAATAGTAATAAATAGATTACTATTGATTCATAGATAATTAGGTAGCTCGTTAAGGATCATGGCAACGGAGCCACACCAGATCCGCCGCGAGGGTCCGAGTAGAGGCCGCAGAGTGTAGTAGTAGCAGCGCTTTGCTGACAAAGAGGCAGGTGTGCGTCCCCGAGTAATAAAAGGTAAAGCTGTTATTGTAGTTTAATAATTATTAACTATTATATATATATGGAGTAGTTCACATCCACTCTAAAAGAGGCAGCTTACTGTCTGCTACCTACATATACTTATCACAAATATATACTAATCACAAAATTTACCATAGTTTTATAACATAAATTGTTTACATTAAATAAAGGTTATACAACGTCATAGAATACATCAGCACTAATCTATGAAAATAAACATCTAAAAAAGGGATAGACAGTGCCCCACTTTTTGCATATCACAGTCTAACTTTTATTTTGGCTTGTCTGTAACTATATTTATAATAAAATAGGATAATTTCACCGAAAACCGTCCAGTAGTTTTTGCTTGAATCCTGAATACACGCACAGACAAAGGGACAGGTGAAAATACTAAAAACTATTAATTTGACTTCAGCAACCTTTATTTAGTCAGACTTGTTTTTACCAAAAAATTATAACCATTTTCTAGATTTATTGTATGTAATATATCTATCTATAAAACACAAATAATGTTTCAACTTAGATATGTCCGTTATACACTTTGAAACCATCCACCAACCACATTTGGACCCGGCAGGTGGCGCTGTGATCGAGGTCCAGAAACCACCCGGGCCAAGCGTGGCGTCGCAGTAGCAGATAATATTATATTAGCGTAAATTTAAGCTCAATACATTGTTACTTGTAGCTCTAATCATATTAATTAATATTATTGTAGTGAATCAATTTGATGTTGTATGCTTGAAATAAACATTGTCATTTCTTCACAATGTTGTTTTATTTCTTCTGTGATGCAAGTGATTAACAAAATATTTTTATTCTAAATAATCTGAATGAGTCACATATTTGCGCATATTTAATGTAACTGGGTTTGCTAAGTAAAAATAAATAAATTACGAAACTAACGCAGATCAAAAAAGATCAAATTATAGCTAAGTAAAAAGAGTAATTAAGCAAACTACATACATGTAGCGACAGTAGCCCACTGGCAGGGTGCGGACCGCGAACTGAAAAGGTCGTGGGTTCGAATCCGCCATTCGACTACTGCCGTGACCCACTCCTAACACAGGCATTTTGAGCTTACCAGGAGTGGTTAAAGGGAATATTTATAATATCAAAAACAGACTTCTATTCTGACTGGAATACAGATAATAAGTAGGTTGCAACTTTATAATTTGTTTAGCTCAGCGAAAACAAAAAAGGAACGCTAGAGCGTTTTTGTTGTGGATGCCGCTGGAATATCTTTTACATGTGCAATGGCATTAGTCACTCTCCTGTGGTGTCCAGTAACACGCCGTAGCTTCCTCCCCAGAGTAGCAGAGACCGATCTGATGGTGACATTTCGCTCGGTAATGCGCCTTGGACGCTGAAATGAGATCAGGCATAATATTCGAAGTGCCTATTCATTATCCTATAGCAGAGGCTGGTTTCTCTGCCATTGCTATATATTTTGAACACAGGTAAGCACGCTGCCCGTAGATTAGATTTAGTATTTAGACCTAACTTGAACATCATCATTATTACAGCCTATCTAAATCTATTGCTTAACATGGTCTATGTTATGGATTGCATAGGGCTTTAGTTGGTTTAGTTGCTACTTATTCTTGAAGTATACCGCCATCGACAAACGGCGAGACAATGAACAACAGATAGGGAAAGGAATAGGACGCGTCAGAGATATGCGTGATTTCGTTAGTTAGTTTCGTTCGTTTACTTTAGTTATAGTTGTAGCACGAATGGGTCGGCTCGACCGGGGAAGGACCACGCTCTCACAGAATACGAAAGTAAAATAACAGCTTAACGCTGCTGTGTTTCGTATGATGAGCTTAGGAACCGGAGACCCTTTTTGCTGGAAATGAGGCGTTCCATTTTAATTCTCACGGGGACGCATCTGCATTTTGATTCGTAATAGAAGATAGATGTAGATGTTACCTTACCATCAGGTGGACTATGTGCTCGGTTGTCACTCTTATCCTATAAAAAACAATTTTGATTTCCTGAACTTCCTTCTAGAGATATCCTTCTACAAACTTTACCTTCCATATTCCGATTATCTCATGAGTCCGAACGACAGATTTTGAGGGGATAGCATTATGCGAAAGAAACTCACCTCTCTATATAACTTATAAATGATGGCGCTTAAAATCTTAAAGAAAATACTAAAAACTAATTCGTATTGAATACTTTTGATATAAATATACGATTAGCAAACACTGTGATATTTAAAGTTATTGGGTAGGGATTAATTTTGACAAGACATACAAAATTTATCGAAGGTTTTATAACGGATTCAAAGGATTAAAATATCACCATACCGGAATAAATTATTATCGATTTAAGTATATTACCTTATTATCAAATTTTTGTTTTTCCGATTATAATCGGAAATATACCAGTTATGTAAAGTACAAAATTTTA